GATCATCAGATATGGGAGAAAGCAGCTCAAGAAAATAGTGGGACAGATAATGTGGCCATATCAACAAAATAGGAGTTTTCAGGAGGGAAGGATTTTCTTGGAGTTGTCAATCACCCATTTTTAAAAATACACCATCTTCCCAAAATAGTAATGAGGTACCAGTTCTCCATTCCTCTAAAACTGGTTAACCAAATCTAAGAAACCCCTTCATACATGCATGTATATAAAGGGCACAAACCTATGCCATTCATAAACCAACCTCTTGGATGGCTCAAACCACTTAGAAAGCCAGATGATTTTTCAAGGATTCCCATTTTTGAGAAAATTCTGCGTATTCTTGTTGATTAAAAAAAAAAAAAGACTTACTGAAGGAGAGCCACAGTCACAATCTTCTCCCGCCTACAAAAGTTCATTTCCAGAAACTGGAGTTGAAACAGTATCTGTTCTCAAGGGTGCATTGAGAATGCATTGTGGGTTAACCTTAGTAAGAAACGTCTGATAATCATTCTTACTACAATCGCTGAACAGTTTGGATGGTTTATCGCTGTAGAGATGAACCAAAATAAGACCATGATATCACCCATATTTGGACTAGGAACAGAATTCATTGCAAAAACATATAAGGAAAAGGAATGGCTAATGAAGAAATGCAGTGATTTGTTTCCCTCTAAAGCTAACAAAATAGATAAAGAACCCTTTGTAGCCCTTAATCTTAATTCCAGATTATGCTCCCTCAGTTTTAATTCCACTAAGTTTCCCTTCTTTTTTAATAAAATATATTTGCAATGAGAACTCCATGTGATATTAGTTGATTGAGCTGCATCTTGTGTTTGAGTGAGCTGCCTTTTATTTTCATTTTTAGTCAGCCTCTCTGTGGAAGGACAATAATATAATTGAAGGGAAAACAGTGGAATTTTGATCCAGTTTTTCTTTTCTTTTGGAGGGATTGTACATTTTATAACAATGAATAAAGAGCTAAATGTGCTAACTCTCTATTTGCCTTAAAGTATTTGTTGTTGATTTCTTTTGTTGAAAAGTGAAAATATCAGCAACATGCCACTGAGCTCTGAAGCTGAATACTTAAATAGATGCAAACATGGCATCCTAAGCCCAGCAAAGCACCTTCCTAATGTTAATTCAAATCATTAGGAATATAATCATTGCAGGGGGTCGAAACAAGAACGCAAAGAGAATCTGCTGGTGGTCATTAAATAGACAAGATGATCTTCTTTCAAGGTCAAAGTTGCACCAGACCCCTTTGGTGGGGTTAATTGAGAAAAATTGTTTCCTAAGCAAAGTCTTCCATACAAAACACCATGAAGTGTCTAGAAGTATTAAAGAATAATCATGATGCCCAGAAATCCTTCAGGAAGGACAGGAAAGGCTACATGGCATTCTCCATACTTCCTGCCCTCCTTGCCATTGCATGAAATGGGAGGCAATGAAGTCCTCGGGCTTTAGCCAAAGAAACCAGAAATTGATCAACAGCTGGGATGCTCACGGAGCCTACACAAAACTCTTACACAAAAGTTATGGGGAGTTTTGCAGCAGACAATTGTTGAGAAGATTTTGCTTCCTTTTTCCTTTTCTTTTTCCTTCTTGATGAAGTAAGGGCTAAACTTGCACCCGGAAGAAAATATTGGTAGTCCTTGACTTGCTGTCACAACTGAGACCAGAATTTCCATTGCCCAGCAAGCCAGTTGTTAAGTGAGTCGTGCTCAGTTTTACAACCAGTTTTGCCACTTTGTTAAGTGAACCACACAGTCATTAAGGGACCCAGCTTGCTCCATTGGCTTTGCATGTGGGAAGACAGCTGGGAAAGTCCCAAATGAAGACCGGTCGTAAGTCACTGTTCTCAGGGCCAGTGTAACTTCGAACGGTTGCTAAACAAATGGTTGTAAGTCAATGACTTCCTGTACGTTGCTACCTGCTGATTTCAGAAGACTGCAATATATGACAGAGATGTAACATATTCTACCCTAATGAAAGGACGAGGCAGGAAAACCACAAGGATGCTAATTTATCTTTTTTTTCCCCTGCTTATGCTTACTACGCTGTTTCTTTAAACTCTGGTGTTTTGGAGGAAGCTACTGAATGATGGCTATTCAAATTCTGAGGACAGTTCTACCTTTTTAAATAGGACACATTTTAACTACACATGGTAAGGTGATACACAAATGACCATAATCCTCCTTTTTTGTAACTCCACGACCATTTCATTTTTGTATATTCTCAATATATTTAATTTAACAATTAATTGCAACCATTTAAAAATAAGTTGATTGGAAAGACATTAAAAGTTTCCCTCAATCCTTACCTTATCACGGGAGACATAATGCATGTGTCACATTTACACTTCTTTCCATTTTTATCTTCATCGTGTTCCATGCCCAGATTATGACCGAGCTCATGGGTCATTGTAACTGCAACCATGAAAACGTTTGAGCTATGATCCTGAAGATAAGAGAATACTTTGTTTATTGTTAGTCCGACAAGAAATGAAAGTGAATCCAATTATTATTAGCACTAAGTGGCTAAAACTGGTGACTAAGTGACCAATTTTAAGTTAAGGATACCATCTTTGGATTCCTCTAGCTCTTCTGAATGTATGTGGGCCCGCCAAGACTCCAGAACATACACAAATACATTCAGAAGGAAACTTTAAAGCCCAGAAGCCACAGCACAGGAGAAGATCAAACTTTATGCATCCATTTGCTGTCTGTATTTATTCAGTTACTAAAACTTACAGGCAACATCAGTCCAAAAAGTATTCAGTATCTTTTGCTACAATCTAGCATTTTCAGAATATTGAAGGTAGCCATCCTAAACAGAATTAAGAATGAGTTGCTCTTTCTGAATAAAATGACCTTCTGGTGGAAACAGGATTACCTCCTACTACCAGGATCCTAACTCTGCTTATTAAGAAACAAAACTTTATGAGATGTCAAATCCATAAATAAATATGGATGAAAATGACGTGGATCAAAAATAAGAAGAGACTTCATTTGTAAAGAAGTTATGCCTGTATGTAAGTTTTCACTTGAGTACAAATAGATAAGAGGTATCTTTTGTACTAACCTGAACAAGTCCTACAGAAAACTTCGGGTCGCACATGCCGTTATTGTAAGCCAATCCTATAGTGTTATCATCGAGCTTAGTGGCCCTATAAGAAAGAATGGGAGGGGGATAAAAATTGATAGAAGGTAGAAGCATGTTATGTAGTCTTAGGGCAGATATAACTAGTCTCAGAAGCCGTTTAACTAAGCAGATCTGTTAAAAATATTCAGGATGCATTTTCATTGTATGGTAAAGTCTGGCTGGTGTTAGCGTGAATGAGGTTGGGGAGAAGGGTTAGCATGTTGTCTGAATGCAGCCCACTGGGTTAATTTAATTCCATTAACTATTTAATAGATTTTGTCTACCAATTTAGCTGTGAGGTTATTGAAGACTAGATGGTTTGGGGAAAAGTGATTGGGTGGAAAGTCAAATCAACATCTGTGGGAAAAGTAAAAAGGTTATTTTTTTTTGTATTTTTGTATTTTTCTGCCCTCCATCTAGTTCCTATTTCATAAGACCTACTTGTTATGCAAGTATCCTGTAAGATTGCTTACAACACAATTATTATTTGTGCAATATCTTATAGATATCATGTCAAAGCAAGTATCATCAACAATAAACATGTCAGTTTCCCACTCATAAAATTGTATGAGAATATATAGGCTGATGGGGTGTGGAACTGAGCAGTGAAGACAGTGGGCTTGTTGACTGGAAGGTGGACAGTTTGAGACTTAAGTTCTGCCTGACGCAGAGAGCTGCCGTTACTTGCTCCAGATCCTGCCGGCCTATCAGTTCAAATGCTCGCAAACATAAGTAGATAAATAGGTACCATTTCGGGGAAGGTAATAGCACTCCATGTGATTTTGTATAATGCAAGTGTTCATTTACTTGGTGTAGAATGGGAATCAAAACATTATTTAATTGAATTAAAAATGAATGTGTAAGAACAGCAAAAGTATAGCAGGATAATCATAATAGTTTCAATTTTAAATCCAGGTTTTTCACCTGCAATCAGTCAAGGACTTCTCAAAAGCAGCTCTCATCTACAAAATAAGTGGTTGACTTTGATTCAGAAGCATAGTTCACACATGGTTTAAAGCATAGAGCATAGAGCAGAAGCTCTGTGCAAGCACTAACCTCCCCATAACTCTCAACTCCCGGCCACCCCCACTCCCTTTCCCCACAATGAGACCTACGTGAGTAAATGAGCACAATCATGACTTTGCTGCTTCAGCAAGACTGTCTTTCTCCAGTCTCCAAATGAGCCCAAAGTAACCTCTGAATCTGACTGCACGGTAATCAAATCTTTGTTGGACCAAATTCGTAGGAGACTCAGTGTTGTAGCAATGTTCAGAGGTTTGTACATCTGTCAGGTGGAAATGGCATCAATCAGAAACTCAAACAAAAGTAAACCTTGAGAAACATTTCAAGATTAAAAAGCAATTGACATTGGACTCTACGGGCAGGTGAAAAAAAAATAAATCTTAGATATCAATAGAAGAGAAATCTCTGGAGCTCAAGGTTGAAGTCCTTGGTGCTCTCTGAGTTTGCTGCTTTGCTCACTCATGTGGAGTAGTCAGATAATGAAATGTCTGCAAGGAAACCACCAAGCTCAGACAGCACTAAGGACTCTATATATTGGGCAATAATAATAATGTATTAAGCAGGAGAAATAAATAA